CGGGGTAATCCCCGTTTACCCCCGTTTATCCCCGTCGCCTGTGCACACAGGGCTAGTAATAGTAAGTAGTACAGTTTATACTTAGCAACACATACAGATGTTGGGATAAGATAATGAATGCTTTATGAACGCCATACACTAAATAAATAAATATTGTGCACACCCCGCATATCACAAAGTAGGGCATCCTTTTCAGTTATTGCATGATTTAAAGTTCCAACCATCATTTTTAGCTGAAGAATTTCGGTTTCGCCTTTGACATTGAGCGTCTTCAATTCTTCTTGTTCGCTGGCTGCCCTTGCGAGGGAAGACTGAACCTCATGTAACTACGACTGGTGTAAATATGGGGAGTAATTTAAATTACTTTTTGATACATTGATTTTTTGAAATCCGAGAATCTTTTCCTAATTGAGTATAATTTAGAAGAGTAATATGATATTTCTTCTATATTATTATGTGAAAGATAAATTGTTTACCTTCTTTGGAATCGAAAAATCTTTTAGAATGATCGAGTTCTAGATGTGAGTCGGCTGCAGCACCAGCAGCTATATATTTCTCGTCTATATGCTGACCATCTGATCTAATCTCCATTTCACGGACATCTTTTTGTCGGGTTTCTGCCTGACCTATGGGAATACTGTTGCATGTGGAAATCATTCGATCAACTGTAAAGACGCGTTGTATGAAAAACTCTTCGAAAGCTGGGGTCAGGGGTCGCTATTGGTAACGCGATATCAATTTCTTCCGTGACCTGATAGTTTAGTTCAGCCAAATTACGTTTTATTCTTTCACCCGCATTTGTCAGAACATCTGTCTTAACAAAATTGTCTGATAAAATTGCACACTAAGCATGGCACATTTATAAGTTAGGGCGCCTTGGAAAATCACTGGTTGCGGTAGCCTTTGAAGAAGGTGAGAATTCCATTAGCCACTTTGAAGTCCAAGCAGAAAGAGCGTTAACGTCTGCACGGATTTGCCTTAAGCATCGATGGACCGTAGAGCTACAGAAGGAATACCTTCATTTGAGTTCGTCAGTCTAAATAAAAGCTTAGGTGTTTAACTCTCGATGAAATATTCCAATAAAAGGAAAAACCGAACAGAACCTAGGGGTCAAAGTTGATAATGTGGACCTCACTACGACCTTTTCTTCTTTGATAAGGTAGGTATGACATTATAAAGCCAATAACGAATTATTTGAGATTGTGTTAGTTGTCAGTTGACAGGCCATGTCAACAGTAATATACAATGGGGATCAGGCTACCGGAAAGAAAACTCCTTAAAATTGGTATGATTACTAAAGTTTGGTAGTAACTGGTGTTCACCAGGAGAAAAAGCTCCCCTTTTTTGAATGATATCAGTTTGGAACGGGAAAGAGTTTTCATAAGGGCACAGTGTTTTCTGTGTTTTGGAACCGGATTTTCCATCTGACAATGATGCATTGCCGGACAATTGCTGGATGTCGGCAGTATAATCTATCCGATAAATTTTTTTACCTTGTCTTTTTCGAACATCTTTCTGTATGATTCTGAAATATGACCATCTGGAATTTAGGAGACTTTCACCAAATGACTTCTCCTTGTATCGCGTCACCTCTCGAATCACAATGTCACCATAAGTGTAATGATTCTGTGGGGTCCAGGTTGTGGAAAAGCTGGTACCCACTGAGTAACGTCGAATGCCGTTGGTAAGTACGGTCTAAGTCAGGGCTGAACGAAACTGTCTACGTCATTATAACTCATACACACGATAAAGGATGGTAAGACTGAGAAGAATGTTAAGCATGTACTAGGAATAATAAAGGGAGAATATCTAGGGGGAAAAGGGGTGTACAAAAGGACAAGTTGCGGCGTCTGGATGGAGAGCGATACTGTCAAGTCTGATAAATAACCGGTGGGGAGCACAGAGCATGTTGCAACTTCAGGTATAGGATTGGAAACCGGAGCCGTTGGATGGGCATGTTGCAGCCAGCTGTGGGGAGGCACGATGAGTGCCAGTTGGAGACAAACACGATGAGGGCCTGTTGTAGAACGCCTTATGGAGCTAATTCTAGGATAGTGGGAAGAGGATCGGCAAATGAAAGGAAGGGGCAACGGCCATTTTCGCTAGCCCGCGATCTTTACCTCTGCATCGTAGGTTCGCGCGTAAACAAGTCCCACCTCAGTCGAACAAACCCATTCAGTTTCCTGGGATCGTTACATAAGCATAAAACAAAAACAGAGCCAATATCTGGTGCAAAAGAAGGGGTTTGTTTTAAGTTTTTTTCCTGTTTTTCGAGGGTTTTGAAGGTGCCCAAGAGGTGCCTTACCAATAAACCTTGTTATTATTATTGTAATCCTCCTCTCAGTCAAATAAACGGGATCAACTTAACGCGCACGCCTTAAACCGCTCCCGTATCGCATGCTGCTAACGACAGTCGGAATCACGTTTTGGATACGGTGGTGTCGAGCCCTCACTTCAGTGGTTTGTTTTCTCTAAACTATAAAGCGGGCTAGCACCCTGAGAACACAATATTACCGTTTCATATTCAAATTCTTGACTGTAAATCTGGTGAAAACCTACATAATCCGCTTGCTCTTCTCTTCCATATCCTTCGCGAAACAGTTTTTAGCAAGTGTGGGCTCGGCGAACTGTGCCCCACTTTCATCGTGGGCGTTTTTCCCACTGTTTCATTCTTAGTCCAGTATTTTTAAAGATTATTAATGATTTTTTTAAAAGGATAAACTGCCGGCTGAAGTGTTATACTTTGCTAACAACAACAGATAAATTCTACGGTACATCCGGCTACTCACTCAGAGCACCAATGTACAAATCTTCATTATTTTATCTCAGTTCTATTTTTGTTTTCATAATGTTATCTAGGCGCTTAAAATATAAAAGCTATTAGTATGATTATCGTTCTTTCAGTATAGCACACCAGAGGTTCGTAAAACCCCAGGCTACGTCGTATATTTTCTGTGAGGAATAACGAAATACAAACAAGTTTTTATGACTGACGCTGCAGCTGGCCGTATATTGACTTGAATGTTTAGGCGAAAATTCGATGAATGGAAAAGTATTCCATCAAGTCGTATGCGTGGTTATAGTTAATTTTCTAACATAATTAAGCCGACTCTGATATTACAGCATGGCTGATGAAAACCTGGTGGGATTGCGCAGGTAAAGCTAGACTAGATGCCCAGGGGTTCTGGTGTTTGTGTCTGCACACTGAAATTGCAACCTGCTTTGAATCCCTTCAATACTCAATCGTGCCTACAGGGCATGACTTGTTGAGTGCGTTTTCGCTTAGAATTAATAATTGCTAGCTAGTTGATTGCAGATGGCAATCATAATTGCGTCGATGGTGGTAACATACTTCAGTATTTTTGTTTGTCGTAGAAGTATGCTTCCTGTTGGGTAGATCACAAGCAGATTTAGCTGTAGTGATATTAGTTAGTACATTAGTAAGGGCAGAAAATGCCTTCTGACCGAAATTATGGGACTTAATATTACAGTGAAGTGTGACCAGAGAGACACACAAAGCTGTAGAGCTGGCGACTTATGCAGTTCTTGTGATTATACGCATGTTCGCGTCTTACAACGTGTCTCGGTCAGTTAACAGACAATAGATTCCCGTTTAAATTGTAGACTAACAGGAGGAAGAGGGTTAACGGATGCAATAATTTGTCGATAGCAATGATCTTGCTCGGTTGGTTTAAGTGGCAACATTGAGGCCCATCTATGTAGGAGGCAAAAGTGAACTAAAGAGAATTAGAAAATTCAAATATTTTCATTGGAATGAAATTGTGAAACCTAAGACGACGAGTGTTGAAAGTGGCTAACGCAAAAGGCATAGTCGGTTTGTGGAAACCGTTGTCACAAAATCACAGGCACCTGAAGGTCACGCACCGGGAGTCTTGAGTGTGGGATTGCATTTCACTCGTAGTGTTGCAACAGAGATGCATTAGTTGGATTGTTGCACGATTCGATAGTTAGCACTAGATTTACGATTCAGATTTTGAATTTAACGTTATTCACTTTACACTGCAGGTTAAGCTGCAGGTTACTGATAGGCTATGGCCTTCCATTTGTATGGTTATCAAATTTTCAAATTAGTAGCAGCGGCAATTGATGCAAATCTACAAGTAATTACTTTATGGTGTTGGGCAACCCTAGAACAATTTTTTAGTAGTAGATGTAATAGTAGTAGTGATATTGATGACGTTTATACGAAGAGTGTGAGCATTGTTCTGGTAATGGTTGTAGCAGTAGTGATCGTATTATGGTGCCCAAGAGGTGCCTTACTAATAAACCCTATTATATTAGTGGCTGAAGGGACAGTAATATAATTCATATTTTCAGTAGTACGGCGTAGAAGTAATTGTAATATTTCTATCACTAGTAACTGCATTGCGTGAAATGGAGTGCGTAATTGCTCAAGAATTTGGTGATTTCTTGCCCTAGAATTTGACGATTTCTTCGAACTGGCTCGGACGAATCATCTGCGGGGTCATCCCTTTAAACTCCAGAGGAAACCGGCCCATACTGACGTTCGACG